TGTGCAGCTGCAGGCTGCTGTCTGCTCCACAGGCGCCGCCTGGAGGCCGCTCCATGAGCCAGGCGGCCCTCTGCTGTGAGGGAAACTCTTCCCGCTACAGGTCATTTTAGGACTCCAGGCTTGTGGCAGACAGATCCCTTCTGCAACATCTCCACCAAGTGGCCATCAGGCTTCTGCTCGCCTGCAGGCAGAAGGAACTGGCTGTTCTGAAGGCCACATTCTACCTCAAAATGGCTTCCTGAAGACTTCACTACTTCACATCGAGCTTAAACTCCTGCCCTTTTCACATCCACCCAGTGACCCTGGTTTGTTCTCCAAAACCAGGCAGAACAGTCTGATTCCAAGGAAGCAAACGAATATGACAAAAACCTCACGTTCCTGTGTCAGGCTGTGTCTCTGAGCAAGCTGGCAATGATTTCCCCTGGATTTAAATTTTTTTTTAAATGGAGACAGGATGAGGGGAAACAGCACACAGAACCCCTGGCCCTTGGTAATGTTCTTACTTTCCTCTCTTCTACATGGTGTTAAGTTTCAGATCTAAGAAGTCCCCCAAAGTCTCACAGGTACGACGGTGACTGGATCATGGGGTGCTGCGCTCATCAATGGAGTCCTCTGTTGATGAGTTTGGTAGCTGACTATACTGTTAGGAGGCAGGGCCTGGCTGCAGGTCGTCCCTGGGGTGTGACCTGGAGAGGTATATTCTGGCCCCTGCTCCTCCCCTCTCACTCTGCTTCCTGGCTGCCCTGGGATGAGCAGCTGTTCTCCACCAGGCCCTTCCACCATGCTGTTTCTGCCTTGGAGCCAGCAGACCATGGACTGAACCCACGGGAAACTGTGACCCAAATAACCTCTCTTCCTTTACGTTCTTGGTAGGAGGTAGTGTGTCTCAGTGACAAGAGGGCTGACTAATTAATACACAGGACAACCCTTCAAATATTCAACAACCCTGCCACTCTGCCTTTAAACATCCTCCGTTCAGAGGAGACGGTTACAGCCTCTGTAACTATGCCTCCGAGAAGGTGTTTTCCAGACATCCGGAGTTCATTTCCATTTATCCACGTGGCTTCTCCTGTTCCCTGCTCTCTTTTGTTTTTTTTAATATCATCCATCAAAGCCATTGTTAGTGTGGGGACAGACTGCGTGAGGCAGGACCAGGAGTCCTCTCCCCAGGGCACCTCCCGTGTAAGGGCATTGCCACCTGCACTGCTGGGCTCACCCACAGGGGCCCAGAGGAACTTCTGGAGCTGATGCAGCCATACAGGGAGGTTTGCTTCCCTTCCCACCAGCCAACCAAGGAAGGCTTTTGCAACGAGACTCCCACCACTTCCTTTCCTCATGAGCACTGAGGAAACGTGGTCCAGGGCTGGGAGAAGACCAGACAGAGCTGGTTGTGACTCCTCTGAGTTAGCCGCTCCTACACATGCCAGTCCTACTGCTCAGAAAGGCAATCCGAAGGTGATTTCTTCCCTTTCATTCCCTAATTTCTCTCCAGTGCTGAGAAATAATCTCTGCCCCTATAAAACTCTCTGCAACAGGGACATGGCTGAAGCTCTGCTGACTCACCCCTCCATGCCCCCAAGAACAGGATGCCCTGCTGAGATGGTGGTGTCCCTAAGGAGCCATTTGTTCACCTGTCACAGCCCCCTTGACTTAGTACAATGCCCCCAAGCAACAGTTCTGGGAGCTAATCGGTGAGTGGCCCTGGCCCTGGGAGCTCCCATCCCTCACTCTCTTCTGACGCCCCTCCTAGCCTTGCCAGAAAGGGCTGCCTCTGCCAGTCCTCACCACAGTGGCCTCATGGGGACCGGCCATTCCACACTGTCAGTTCCCCTTACCCCAGTTCGGCCCTCACTCTCCCATCGTCAAAGGACCATGAACGTACAGATGACACCCAGGTAACGGCAGCGCAAAACACCATGGATATATTGCTTCACTTACAGAGGTGCCCTGAAGCAGGGGGCTTCCAGGTAGGGTCAGCAGCTCAGCACCATCTTTATGATCAAGACTGCATCTGTCTGTCTGCTCCACATCTCAGCTTTCATCTCCACATTCCCTCATGGCTACAGAATCGCTGCTAAAGCTTCCAGTATAGAGCACATCCAAAGCCAGGAAGGGTGCTTGGTCCTTGAGCATCTCAGTCTCTTAGTAACAAAGGCCCTTCCTGTGCTCCCCACAGACTTCCCTCCAATTCAGCAGCAGCAGCTGTTCACGTGCCCACTGCCAACTGACCACCCTGGCACCCATGGCAAAGAGGGAGGTGCTCAGACAAGTGGCTGGGCCCATCTTCCCTGAACACACCAATGCCTGACACCTGAAAAATGGGATTCTGCTAGCAAGACAGGGAGAATGGCTGTAAGGTAGGAAACAAGCAGGTTTGCACAGCTTCATTCCCGCTAGCGTCCCCTGCTCCAGGATGGGCCACCTGGGTCAGAGGCCTGCGGATCTTCCTGCCCAGCTGGGTGAGGACATCCCATGATGGCCCACATGACTTCAGTGAAGCACTGGGCAAACTAGGTCAGGCATGGCTCTGAGGGCAGCAAGACACACTAGTGTATTTTCTATTCGTGTACCTGTTCACTGAGATTTAAGCAGCTTTCTGTCCTGTGCTCTGCCATGACTAAGAGATCTTTCCCACAAAGTGTCAGCCAGGGCTAAATCAGCCAAGGCTAAGCTAAGAGCACCTGTCATATCCAGGTCACCAGAATCGTGGACTTCAGAACATGTCTTTCTCCACACCCACGTGTTTCACAGCTTCAGCCACCGGGGAGGGTTCTTCGGCAGAGGGAGGACATCTATCCAGGTGATTTAAATGTCAAGGATCTTGCATTTCTTCTATTGTTTGACTACAACTTGCCACAGTGTACACTGTCTCCCAGTAATGGTGAACAAACAGTGTATCTGGAAGACAGCCTCCTTTCTAAATCTTTAAAAATGGTTTCATGTGCACTGGGTAGAGCTAAACATTTGAGGGAGTCTGAACACCCGAAGTGCCAAGGGTCTGATGAGGCCCAGCTGGCACACCTGGCAAACACTGGGGTCACATCCTGGGCACCATACTTTTGAGAAATATGCATTCAGAGGGGAGAACTCTTAAATCATTGGCCAAAGTGTCAATGGAAACCCCAGGATCAGTCCATCCAGGCTCCTGCAGGGCAAAATTGGCCCTAAACTATCTCCTCTCTTCCTTCTTTCCTTCCTTCCTTCTTTCCTTCCAACACTTTACTACTGAGCTATATCACCAGTCCTCTATTGATTCTTTAAATTTTATCGAGTGTTAACTTAATACTTGATAAATAACTGGCCTCTTGATTTCTAACTTTGGCATCAGACACAGTAGCCCTCACTCCCTACCTTGTGTCATACGCACAAATTTGATCAGTGTCCTTAACCATATAATTGATAAAAAAAAAGAGGAGGAGGAGGAGGAGAAAGAGGAGGGAGAAGCAGCAGCAACAGCAACTGTGAGAGGGAAAATCCTTATTGCAGTTTACTTTATAAGCCACAATTTTACAAAGCAATTCCAGATCCTACAGACCCGAATCACAACACCTCTACAATTTTACTCTGAAGTTGTAGGAGCAAGCAACATCTAATTCTCTGAGAGCTAAAGGAGAAACTCAAAAGATAGCAAGTTATTAATGACTGCACAAAACTGGAGGTTTCTACAAACCCACCAGAGAAACTTCTGGGAAAACCTGAATATCTCCACTGTTCCACAAACCCTGCCTCGATCCGCCACATCCATCTGCAGGAAGCGACTATGGGTCCTTCTCCAAGTGTGCCCAGAAAAACTACAGGACTGGCTAGAGTGAAAGATGACAAGGACAGGCAGACAGTAAGAGCTGAAGAGAATTCACTCTTCAGAGGACACTGGGGATCTGGAGAAAGGGGTGGACGGTAACAGCCAACCACATGACAAACGTCCAAAGCAACCCGTCCCTCATCCAAAACATGTACAGTTGCTCTCTGTGTAACTGCAACTTCTTCCAGAGAACTCACATGTGGAAATTTGCTTATTTATTTGTCTCCCCTTCTAGAACAGGAATTCCATGAGGCCAGGCCCAGGGGGTCCCTTCACTTATTTCCGAGTGGACACTCAGCACACTGAATGGGACGATGGATGACTGAGTGGGTCCCCAGACAGACAGTTCTCACTTGGATGGATATTAGGAAATTGATCGTATTCTTAGCAGTTTGGTTAAAGATGCAACCGTCCATTTTTACTAAGTCTCCATTAAGACAAATCGGTATTCAGGTTTCAGGTTTATGAGTGAGAGTTTCTTTCTTTTCTGAGATTATTTGAGCCACCACTCGGTGTTCATTTCTCAGATATATGAAGCTTGTCTTCTCATATCTAAAGGCTTTCCTTGTCTTTTATCTAAATCAGTCAAGTCTCTTCTCATAAATGAAAAATACTAAATGGTTGCTCTAATAAGATGAAGAGGTGACTAGCAGAAATAATCGGCAGCTTCCAACTTCCATGAATAAGTTTTCCTTAGTGTCTAAAATAATAAATACCATTTACACACCAAAGACTATGTGCTGTGAGGTTTACAAATTGGTCCCCAGTTCCCCATTCAGTGTGTCATTAATCCAACTAGTGGGATGCTCAGGAAACCGAGGCTTGGAGAGAAAAGCCACTGTCCAAGGCTCCTGCTGATGACAAAGCAAGGATCTATACCCACGTGGGCTTAAGTCAAAGCTCACAATCATTTATTATACTTTTTTTTTTTTTTTTTGCAGTACTAAGGATTGAACCCAGGACATAGGCAAGCACTTTACCGCTGAGCTATACCCCCATCCCCTAAGTTGCCAGGCTGGCTTCAAACTTGGGATCTCCTGCCTCAGTCCCCCAAGTGGGATAACAAGCATGTGCTTCCATGTTCTGCTTATTTTACTCCTTAATCATTACTAGTTAAGCCATCATATCAGGAATCCTCGCTGAGTACTGTACTTCATCAAGTCCATTTAATGGAGAACTTCACTGAGATGTACAGCACTGCCAATTAAAGCTACAAATGCCTTTATTGGGAAGGTATGTCACAATTCCAGAAATGTTAAAATGCATGTTATTCACACCCACTTGCATACATACATATACACGTACACAAATATATGTGTTAGACTCAATAACATGCAGCAATCTACTAATCTTGGAGCAAATGATGCCTAATAAATGCCATAAATATAAATACCTACTGAGTCCTCTAGAAAGTGAATTTTTCCATAACGTACAGAAAAGAGATAAATCTTAAGTATGAGTAAAGTTACAGCACAGTGCAAACATTTGGGAATCTGCACACTCTAAACACTGTGTCATCTCATCTGTGGCGTTAGGCCATGTTGTTTACAATGGAAAACGTTGCTGACATTTTCAGAAGCCATGAACCTTTCCATCACTTTCTCATATTTTGACACACCCGAGTGCATGACAAGGCAGTATGCACTTTTTTTAGAATATTCCATTAAAAGTGGATTTTAAATCTTCCTGTTTTCTCTTAACTTCCATTTGTTTTCTCCAAAAGTTAAGGAAGAAACTAATTTTTCAGTCCTTACCAAAGGAAAACATGCCGATGCTGACATGACTGTAAGTTTCCAATGGAAGACGACCACCAACGTGGCAGAGAAGCATGCTCCATAAAGTCTCCACTGGAATGGCCAACTGCAGATGCTGGCCCTTCAGGGCCTCTTCTCCCTTCCCCTCAAAGTGCCCATATCATAAGCCCACACGGTGTCCACTCCGGCTCCAACGACGTGGTCTGGTGTCCAGTGCGGGAAAGGGAACCTGCACGCGATGACTCTGGCGTCCTCCTCAAGTTCCTGTTCAAGTTTCTTCTCCAGCTGTGGCATCTGTGGAGAGCAACAGCCATTACTTCCGTGAATGATGGAGGAAGAGCAGTGATCCCAAAATGCTCTTCTGGATTTATGAGTCCCTGAAAATATTTATAACAAAGATCACTTCAGGGCACAAATACATTACCAAACAATCCATTATCATACAGAGACACATTAGCAGCAATTATAAGAACACCTTCTGGTATCAATTATAAAAGATGCCATTTTTAGCAGATCTCTAGTAGAGATTTCCAGTTTTCTAACTAAAATGATGATATGGCAGTAATTGAAATAAGAAAAAAGTGTTAAATTACTTATCTATTTCACCATACCCTGTATGATATATTTTAAACACATTTTTAACATCTCTGAAACGAGAATAAAACATACAATGGACACTGTCTTAGAATTACTGCTGGCAGTACTTTTTCCTTAACAGCAATGCTGCATCTTCATAGCTAAAGCCCAAATCCTAATTCATCGCTACCATCAATACTAGGGTAACAAAGGATAAATTCCAAGAAAGATAGAAAATTTGTATTCTCCTAACAGCCAGTAAAAGATTCTTTTTAAAAAATGTGTTAGTCCTTGAGGGAAAAATTAAATAAGCACAGAATGAGACAATATGTGTTCTTCTAAAATATCAGAGGTTTTTCATGGTAATTTTGTTCATAAAAAGGATAATTGTAAACTTATTCATATTACCATTATTCTCCTTTTCCCTTTCATAGTTTCATTTATTTCCAAATGATTGTCATATGCTAAGTCAAGATAAACCTAAAAATGAAAGGAGCTATTTTAATCCTAAGAAATTAACTGACTAAATTACACATAAATATGCAATGAATCTGGTTCTTGATATCAAACACAAAGAGAAGCACGGTGTGTCATGCCTGTCTAATGGAATTCAAAATTATTCATACAATTTAGGTTTCAAAGTGACACAAACTCATCTTAGTCTAATTATAGCTTCAAAACTTTAAACACAAGCTAGAACCAGCTCAAAGGCATGAGACCGATCAACCAACCCGCGTGAACTGAATCTGGAGTCTCGTGCACATTGCACTCTCTAGACAAACACTCCGCCCCTGAGCTACCTTCCTGGTCCCACACCTCGCCCAGCTCAGCTCACTGCAACCCTAAGCATCATCTGGGCGCTCCAGCAGGTTCCTCGAGTCTGTCTCTCTCTCTCTCTCTCTCCCCCTCTTCTTGGATCTGGCCGCTAATCCTGTTGATTCCATCTTCACATGCATCCGCTGTGACCGCTTCTCGCCTGCCCACCCACCCTGGTCCACACCCCAACCTCAGCTTCCTGGAGACCCCTGAGGGCTCACAAACTGACTCCGACCCCCACTTCACACACGGACCACTCCCTGAGGCGGCCCCTCTTGGTCTCTGCCCAGCGGGCCCTGCATGCCTCTGCTCTCTGGTCTGTGGCTACTGTCCCTGAGAAGGCCAGTGATCTTCATGACCACTGAGTGTTCTCCCACCGCTTGCTGCTCCTGCAACCCAACTTGCACACACCACTGACCCCACCCTGCCGCTCCCTCGCTTTTAATTCCTCCATAACACCCATCCCTTTCTCCTGTGAGATGCATTTTACACAGGTAGCTATTTAACACCTGCCTCTCCTTCCCCAGGCACAGAAACACCTGGAGGCAGAGTGTTTCCTGCCCTTCACCAAAGCACTGATTCCAAGTGATTAGGAAGGGCCTGGTGCTTGGTGTGTGTGTGGCCTTAGCTGTGGAGTACACAAAGGAAGGCAGGATAAGTGATCCGGTCCTGAGTCATTTTGCTCTATCAGAACATGGTGACAACATCTTTCCTCTTCCACTGCTAACAATCCATAACTAAAACTAAACTGTTCGTTCCTCGAAGTCATGAGAGTGAATGGCCTCTGGGAAGTGTAAGGGTCTGGGTGTGCCCTCCACACTTGGTCACCCGTGTTCACTGAGTGATTACTTTGTGCCCCACAGCGCGGTGCTGGGGCTCGAGGGTCCATGCAGCCACAGTCGATTCCACCCAGAGCTCTCGGCGCAGTGAAGACACAAACACCGCAGCTTCTGTGGCCAGGGCAGGCGTGGTGCCTCGGGAGTGGGAGATGGCACTGGAGCTCGCCTCCTCTCCTCGGGGATCAGGGATGGCTGACAGAGGAGAGGACAGCTAGCCCGTAAGCGTAAGTGTCTATCGATGTCACTCCTGCCAGTGATAAGGGACAGCCCAGGCCTTGGGAAGAGAGACCCAGGCAAGGGCAGGGCCAGGGAGAGGGTGAGAGGCGAAGGAGGAGTGGGCAGGAGGCTCAGGGCCCCCCCCCCCAGGTGAGGGCCTCACCCTCAGGTCAGGTTCAGCAGGAAGTCTCCAGCGGTTTTTATCAGGGTGTGACAGGCCTGTCCCGGACTGTGTCCTGCATTCTGAAAAGGGGCTCATGTCAAACTGGGGTCTGCAGTCCTGGCAAGGGCACTGCAGAGCCAAACGCGATTCCCGTCCCGTGATGTCAGACGCTGGCTGTGCTCCTACAGCGAAGTTCTCGGGAACCATCGGTCTTCGGGCAGAAGCAGGGCGGAGCGCTGACTGCGCCAGGGTTTCCCCTCCTGGCCGGCGGTCAACTACCACTGGGGGCTTCTGGGGCACAGCACAGCCCGGGCAACGCCGACTCCCAGGCCGCAGCCCCGGCCTCCCACTGCCTCTGCTGCGTAAGGCGTCAGGCCCCCAAAAGCGCGGCTCAGCCTTCCCGACCAGAAGCCTCTGGGCCTCCACGCCCGTGGTCAACACCGCGGCGCGGACACAGCCCACTGGGCCTCCTGCTCCAGGGCGGACAGCTACTCCCCGAGTCTCAGCTACTCCCGGTTTCCCGGGACAGGGACTGCTCCACGCTCCTCGGCTCGGCTCGGCTGGGGAGAACTGCAAAAGCGCTTATGGAAGCGGTAAGACTCCCACTGCCCCGGTGCAAGGCCAGCTCCGTGCACACTGCAGGCTGATGGGAAGCAGCAGGCTTTTCCGAAGGACGCTGCTGCCCCCCGCTGGGCACGCGAAAATACCTCGGCTCAGCATCCTGTCCTCAGCAGAGTTCCCAGGAAGCATGAACCTTCCTTTTAAACGAAGCATGGAATTCAAATGAAAATTACTTATCTCTCAAATGCTAACTATTCCACTTCAAAAGGAAAGCCAAAACATCACAATAAGGAGTAGATCACCATCAAAATTCCACATCAATTCTCTAACACCAGTTGTTCAAACTGACTGAGGATCAGGCCCTTCTATGTGTTTTCACTTCCTGACCAGCATAGACACCCAAGTCTGGTCCTAATCTCAGGGCCAGTGAGAATTACAAACACAAAGAATACCTCCACTTTCAAGAACAGACAACAAAAGCATTTCTGAATTGCCTTTAAACAATTAAAGAAAATGTCAGGCTTTAAACAATTACAGAAAACCTGGTGGAGCACACCTGTAATCCTAGCACTCAGAAGGCTAAGGCAGGAGGACAGCCGCATGTCCAAAGCCAGCCTGGCTACACAGTGAGTTCAAGAGCAGCCTGAACTACATAGCAAGACCCTATCTCAAAAAGAACAAAGAAACAAAATTAAAGAAAATGGTAATACAGTGAAGGTCCTAATAGTAAGAATGAATTCTCCAAGCATTGAAACATCTTACATAAAAATTAAGGATGAATAAAAGAACAAAAATGTAAATTTCCTTTTCTAAAATTAAAAACCATCCATATCAGTCTTATAGTGGCATTACAGTAAACATCTAATTCCACCAGCATTACTACAGCAACAATTATAGACTTTGGAAAGTACAAAGGGATTTATTTCTTCCTCTGGCACGTAAACCAGCAGTTATGGCAGAAGCATCCCACCCTGCCCATCTTGTCAAAGGCTGAGGGACCATTTTCAGCCCAATTCTTCAGTTTTATTACTTGTGAAAGTATATAATCAAAGTTCAATATTCAGTTCTTCGGCAAATCAGTCAATTGGGGTAAATGGAAACTAGTCAATGCATATCCACCCTGAAAACTCTTCCTGCGGAACTGGAGGTGGAATGATCAGCCCTAGGGAACATCCCATTAACTCCCCCGAATGATCTCGCTGCGACTAAGTGAGCAGTTGTGAAAATCACAAACCACTGGCACCTCGTAAAGCCGTTTTCAAATCGGAATTTTTAAGGCGCAGGGAGACAGATTTTTATCTGAAACAAAAGTTCAAAAGTAGGCCTGTGTCTTGTACAATGGAGCTCGGCAGGCCTGAAGTTTTATTAAAGCACCGAGCCGAGGTCCCCTGCTCCCGGGAAGGCCCCGGAAGGCCCCGGACAAGGTGAGGGGCGCTGGAAGGGCAGCGGGGTCCCTGCTGGAACCAGAACCGGAAACGGGCCTAGGAGCGGACCGGAAGCGCGGCCGCACTCACCATCTGGGGCACGCCGAAGACCACCACGTTCGAGTACTGCGAGAAGGTAACCTAGGCGAGAGGGAACGACGGGGATATTAACTCTAAGAAGTCAGACATGAGCGTTTCCCCTTTGCCAATGTGACTTTTACAGACGCCTGAGAGGAACGCTGCTCGAAGCAAAGAGCCCCGCCTTTGCGGAGATTCCGTTCGTGAGGTTTTCAGACGCCTCCATGTAATTCAGCTCGTCCACACTGGGGCTCCATGCGGGCCCACCCCGGGGATCCTGTGACACTCAGTGACCGCTCTACTCCACACACACAGAACCAGCTTAGTAAGAAAACACAAGGCATATGCCGGGTATCCTAGCCCTGGGGAGACCGAGGGAGCAGGATCACTGCGAGTTTGAGGCCAGGTTGTGCTACAGAGTGAGTTCAAGGCCAGCCTGGACTACACAGCAAGAACCTGTCTCAAAAAAAAAAAAATTCATCTGGTGTGAAATCAAGCAAGCCTTTGATGGGACATTTTAGATCTGAAGTCAGACCAGGTGAGCTTCTGATAGGACAAACGTCCCAAATTCCAGTTTCGGATGGGAGAGAAGGCTCTAGGAAGGCCTGGGCGTTAACCTCATGGCAGCTATGAGCCTTCTCAGCCCCCGATCTCACTCTGAAGAGTGTATTTCTTTTCTGCCTTTAATAAATATAAATCCTTGTTACCCTTAAAAAAAAAAAAAAAAAATTCAGACCCACCCGATTTTTTTAGTTTTTCAGAGCCACCAGTTTTATGTTGAACCATTCTTAGACTTCTGATCTCCTCTTCTCTAAATACTACACAAAAAGTGCAGTAAAATGGTCTTTCAATAGTTGAAAAAGTGGGCGGGACAAGTGCTTTGCCAGGCAAAATTCTTATTGCCCCATAAAAGTCTTATTTACTCTATAGAGAGATCGTTTAGTTATATAGTATGAAAAACAACGCAAGCAAAACTCAAGTGAATTTTTATGAGCTACTGATGACAGTATTACAGTGGAAATTCTTATTTAAGAAAAAAATCATAGGGGCTAGGGATTTAGTTCAGTGGCGCTGCACCTGCCTTGCAAGTGCAAGGTCCTGAGTTCGATCCCCAGTTCCAAAAAACAAAACAAGAAAAAAATTATGGAGCATTTCTAAAGCAAAATTATAGGGCCTTTTGAGAGCCCAAATAAACTGAAGTTCCTCACACTTTATGAGGACCAGGAGCCTGGTTAGTGGATGCTTTCTTTTTCCATCACCCATCTCAGTCCCTGTCTAAATGTACAAACATACATGCATGCAGGAAAAAAAAAACACTTGCATGTGTATTAAGAACAATGTATATAAGATCCCCAAGTGAGATGTAAAATCTCGTTATTTCATAACAAACAAAATCAGAACATTTTCACTTAGGAAATAAATTGGTAGGATTCACATTACCTATCACAGTGATGGCAAACCTTTTAGAGCTTTCAGAGATACAAACAGCTTGCTGCAGCACATGTGCCATAGGTTCGCTGCCACTGACCTATCATATGAAAAAGCTTTAAGCTTCTACTCTAAAGTTGAGCCTGTCTATAAAATCTATCAGGTTAAAATGTGAACATACTTCATTATGACAAAATATTCGCTTGGATTTTAAATAGTTTTCTTTTAACAAATCTTTCATGTTTTCATTAGTAATAAATTTTTTGATGGCTGTTTCTAGGACCGTTCTCTGCCTTCCATACCTTCCATAAATCTGAAATATAAAATGTGGCTGAGCTGCCTGCTCTCCAAGCTCGGTACCTGGAATACCAAACCAGCCATGGATTTAATTCATAACCAACCGCTGTGAATCCTTCTTCTGCAGCTGCTATTACCTAAAGAGAGGCCAAGATGTATCACAAAGAAGAAAAATCAATATACATAGTCAAATAATATGCATATTTCCTATGTACGTTTATAGTCTTAAAACATCCCATCAAAAAGCACATCCTTTGTCAAAGACACCATTTAAAAATGCCTCCTCACAGGGCCAGGGATTTAGCTCAGTAGTGCCGCACCTGCCTTGCAAGCACAAGGTCCTGAGTTCGATCCCCAGTAATGGAAAAAAAATTTTAAATGCATCCTCTCCAGAGGAAGGTGGCTTTTGGACAGGGTGATGACCAACCTATTAGGACTCAGTTCCTATTTCTGTCACAGACTTCACCTCGAGTATCAGTAAATACTTGCATTGGACAACTGCAAAGTTCATGCTGGTTTAGCCAGCACCTGGGCAGGTCTAACAGGAAGTTGCTGAAAGTCTGCCATGTCTTCCCATCAGTGGGCCAGCACAGCACAGGATGAAATGACTGCACCCAGGAGGATGGTTTTGCAAACAAGTAATAATATTGTATAAAGTATCCTGTCAGGCAGACCTGCAAGTAGTCACACATTTCCTTAGAATTCAGTGACGTGTCCTCTAACCGGAAAGCAGGTAAAGGTAAAATGGAATGCATTTGAACAAAGCCAGCAGTGTCTCCCACCAGCCTTTCAGTGACAGGAGGGAAGTCAAATGGTCCTAGGTCTCTTGACCCACCTGCCCAGCCCCCACCCTGTGGTTGTTCACCTGACATCACCTTCAGACACAGGGCTGCATGGAACCATTTCCTCAGAAACCAGAAGGTACCATTCAAGTATATGAAGGATTCAAATATGGCCTTAAAACTTTCCTCCCAATTACTATATACGTCTCCCAGTTTCTCAGAAATTAACACTGGTGGGCCGGGGATTTAGCTCAGTGGTTCCGGCTCCTGCTTCAAAAGCACAAGATCCCAAGTTCGATCCCCAGTACCAAAAAAATAAACACTGGTGCTTGCCAGAATGGGGGAAAGAAGGGACTGGAGAATTACTGCTTAATAAATTCAATTTCATTGCAAGATGGAAAGAGTTCTGGAGGTGAGTGGTAGTGATGGTTGAACAATAAGAATGTACTTCATATCACTGAATGATGTTCCTCAAAATGGTAATGTGGCAAATCCTATGGTGTATAGATAAAGTTTCCAAAAGGAAGCCAAGTTGCCAAATCTTTGATCTTTCAGTTCAGTGGGGGTTCACCACTGGCTCTTGTTTAGCTCTATAGTACCCCATAGGAATTCTAAATCTATAAATATAGAGAAATGTAAATATAATGAAACTCTGTAACTGAATGTTTCGTCCAATTGCGCTACCTCTATTAGCCCACAGATTTTAATAGACAGTTGATAATTATCGATGAAGTGCTCTTTTTTACCTAGCATATATACAGAGTACTTTCTCCTTTAAGAAGAAATTAAATCTATGAAAAATGAATTCCACACATATGCTGGTGGCCTGACAGTTTAGCCAAACAAATACAACATGAAACAACCACTTTCTCCAACTGTCAGAATGGTTTGGCAAGTCTTTGTGTAAGCCTGTACTATAGTAAATGTAAAGAGAAATTTCAGCCATTCTGGATCCACACTTCAGATGTTCTGACCACTCACAACACGTCCATCACCGCTGCCAATGTCTACCAGGGACCCTCGTCTGTGCCGCAGCATCTTCATCACATTTTCAATCTGCTTTGCAGTTGCAGGTACAAAAGGCAAACAGATCTTCCGGAGGGCTGGTGTGATAAATGGTGTTGCTACAGCATACACGGCCACGAGGGCCCCGCCAACAACACCAGTGAACAAGAGCCCCCAACCGCTTCTCTTCACGCTGCTAGCTTCGGAACTCGGAGGGACACCGTGTCCACACTGTCTTTCTTCTTGAAGCACTTCTGAGGGTGCACCTGCGTTGGCAGCAAGCAGAAAACACAAGTGGCACAAGCTGAAGCCCAAGACTGCACTTTTTTGTGCAACTCATACTGACAAATTGTGCTTTTATATTTAGCTGAATTCAGTCACAATCACATTCCAATTGTGGAATTGTAGGATTCCACAATGAGTTCTAAATCCCACTAACAAAATTTAAATGATTTGAAGAAAATTATTCAATACTGATGAAAAACTGAAATCTTTTCTTTCCAATATACTGCTTTTGTGTGTGTCTCAGAGTCATCCTGAGAAAACAATATATTAAAACCTATCTAAGAGGGCCGGGGATTTAGCTCAGTGGTTTCACTGCCTGCTGCACAAGCGCAAGGACCCGAGTTCGATCCCCGGTACCAAAAAAAAAAACCAAAAAAACCTTATCTAAGGGCCAGGGATTTAGCTCAGTGGTTCCACCGCCTGCTTCACAGGCGCAAGGACCCGAGCTTGATCCCTGGTACCAAAAAAAAAAAAAAAAAAAAAAAAAATCTAGTGCCTGGGCGTGGTGGTGCACACCTATAATCCCAGCACTTGGGAGGTGGAGGCGCAAGTACTGCCAGAAGTTTGAGGCCAGCCTGGGGTACATCGCAAGACCCTGCCTCAAAAAACAAAACAAAAGCCTGCCTCACAAGCGCAAGGTCATGAGTTGATCCCTGGTACCAAAAACAAAACCAAACAAACAAACTTGTAATTTACTAATTCAATGTCTATTCATACAAATTGTAACCACAAACTCTGTTTTTATCTTTTGAATGAAGAACACCTAGACAAATAAGCATGAAAATGTCTACCCTATTTCTAGTAGAATGAAAGGATTCCACATCAAAATTGGCCTGACATCTGTAATTTAGTGGCACAAATACAATTTTGAAGTAACAGAAGAGACAAAAATCAGGTTTTACCAAACTCTTGAGGTTTTTTTGGTACTGGGGATCGAACTTGGGACCTTGTGCTTGTGAGGCAGGTGGCGGAACCACTGAGCTAAATCCCCAGCGCACCAAACTCTTAAGTAAGTATAGTAATAAAGAGACTTATTAATTCTTAAAGCAGATCATGAACAAAAACTAAGTCATTTCAGTACTATCACAAGCATGGAATAAAGCAAAAAGACGCCAATCACTGGCTGCAGAGAAGTGGATGTGGCCTTACGTATCCTCTGTGGCACCCTCATTGGGATAGGAAACTGATACGAACTTCGAATTGATTAATGACAGGCACAGCATAAGATGGGGTGCAAGGCCCCTCTGGAGGCAGCCGTGGCAATGATCCCAGCACTGCCACTTTACTTCTGGTGTGACCCCGAATCCCTTCTCCCCACTGAACCTCTGCTTCCTGCTCCATAAAGCGGGGTTCCAGGTTGTGAAAATGAAAGGAAGAGATGGAGGTACCACACTCAGGATGGGCCAGGTACACCGGAGGCAGAAGTGGTCTCCCCGCTGTCATCAATTACTGCTGGGGGTCACGCTGAGCCCCACAGGTGTCAGACCAGCTTCCCTGGAGCAGCGGCCCCCCAGCCAGTGAGGGGTGAGGTCAGAAGCCCACAAATCAGTAGAGAGCAGAAGAGGGTGAGGGGCGATGACAACAGGCTTCACAGCTGCTTTGTGGTCAGCATGGCGTCCACAGACCACTGTATTAGTTCATCACTGCATGAAGAAACTGCCACACACTTGTTGGCACAAAAGCACATGCATTCATGAGCACACGTGCAGAGGGTAAGAACCTGCATTGGGGCAGCAGGGCTGCCCTCTTCCCAGAGACTAAGGCAGGACCAGTGCCCTTGTTTTTCAGGTTGGCTTCTGATCAATGCCGCACCAACCTCTGCTTCCATCCCAGCATCTCCTGATGTAACATTCCTGTCTCCCTCTTTCTTTACAAGGACCCCTGGGAAAACACTGCCCCCCCCATAGCCCAGGGTGACCTCCCATCTCCAGATCCTAATTCACATCTGCACAGTTTGCAGTGATTAGAATGTACCCATCTTTGAAGGGTCCACTCTGCATATGGCACCCATGGGCAAGACTACGCGTTCTGCTGAAGTACAAATGTGAATGCAGGGCGCTCCAAAAACAGGCACACAGCAGCAGATCCAGGGCAGCTGGCACACCTCTGGCATCCCTAGCAAGCAGCATGGCTTTATTCTGGTTTCGGAGGACCTGGGAGAGTTTTCCAAAACTGGTTTCTTCTAACCGAGGATGAATATCTAAAATACAGAACTTGGGCCGGGGATTTAGCTCAGTGGTTCTGCCGCCTGCCTCGCAAGCGCAAGGTCCTGAGTTTGATCCCCAGGACCAAAAAAATAAATAAATAATAAAATACAGAACTGAAAAACTTGAACACATACCAAAACAAAGCAGCCCAATCATTTTTCCTTTTTTTTTTTTTTTTAGATGTGGTCTTGCTCTATAGTCCAGGCTGGCCTTAAACTCATGGCACTCCTCCTGCCTCAGCCTCCTAAATGCTGGGATTACAGGGGTGTGCCACCACACGTGGCAAAAGAGACCAATCAATAAAAGGCCAAATGATGGGGATTTAGCTCAGTGATTCCAGCGCCTGCCTCGCAAGCACAAGGTCCCGAGTTCAATCCCTGGTACCAAAACAAAAGGCCAAATGAACTGAACAGAAATTTCTTAATAGAAGTACAAATAACCAATAAGTATATGAAAAAATATTCAATATCTTTAGCCTAATTTAGGGAAATGCAAATTAAAACTACACTGAGATTCTATCTCACCCAGTCAGAATGATTGTTGTCAGGAATACAAAAGTAATAAATGCTGGTGAGAATGTAGAGGAAAAGGAACCTACACTGCTGGTAGGAATATAAATTAATACAGCCGCTATGGAAATCTGTATGGAGGTTCCTCAAAAAATAAAAATACAACTACCATATGCCCAGCTACGCCAGTCCTCAGTATAGACCGAAGGAATTAAACTCAGCATAATACAGGGATTCCTGCACACCAACATCCCCTGCAGCGTGATTCCCAACAGACAGGATGCAGAATCAGCCCAAGAGCTCATCAACAGATGAGTGAATAAATAAAAGGTGGTGTAGAATACAATGGAGTACTATTCCACCATAAGAGCAAAATTATGTCATTTGTAGGAAAATGAATGGAACTGGAAATAATTGTGTGAAGATAATCCAGATTCAGAAAGGCAAGTATCACATTTTCCCTAATATGTGAAATCTTAAAAAAAAAAAAATGAAAGTAGAAAATAGACTGATTAGACAGGAGGAAGAGAATGAAGGTAGGGGGGATATAAGAGAGGATATTAGAGGGTGAGTGTGATCAAAATTCTATGCATGGGTGAAAAGACCACATTAAAAACCCAGTATTTTGTAAAATTAATAGGCTCTAATAAAAATGTATTTTACAAAACTGGTTTCATAATGAAAAACCAACTTGAGGGAAAAAGTCTGCTACAAGTGCTAGTGATAGAGGTAAAATAAAACTAGGAAAATGTGGCTCATGATGCTTGATAGAAATCCAGTGTTTCCCATCATCTCAGCGATGACTTTGGCACGGTATGGAGAAGCCTATAAGCGACATCAAGGTACATTTGTCTCCCCATGCACACAGCCACCCTGTGGGCATCCTAACAGCACACCGTGGGCCAAGAGGACTTCGGTCACATGCTGCTGGAAGCTCAGAACTTCACCTAGTTGTTTACAACTGAACTAAAGCTCACATTAAGCAAGCTTTTCCTAAGGCATGGTGTGCTCACCAGTAAGACATAGAAATAATTATATATAGTTACAATAATTATCTAATATATAATTATTAATATCTATTCTTCCACAATTTGAAAACTGTTTAAAAGATTTTGAAATCTTTTAATTGCTAGACTGGTTAAATAGCGCATAAAAAGCACTTAGCCCAGGACTGGAAAAGTAAGGGACAACTGGTAACTGCCATTATCCTTCTCAAGACTCATTTTGGAGAAGGGCTCCATTTCTTAAACTTCCTTGAGATACAGTACAATGCATGCACATACAAGAGGCACACCTGACAGTTCGATGCTTATTCATACTTGTGTGCGACTACCACCACCAATTTTAGAACATTTTCATTACCTTTAGAAGAAGCCTTTGTCCTTCAGCTGTCATCTACCCACTTGCCTCAATCCACACTCCACCGGAACCCCCTACCCCATCCCCAAGTAAGCACTAACCTATTTTTGTCTCTAGAGTCCCATTTTCTAGACCTAGAGGAATGGGATAAAATAGTATGTGGTCTTCTATGACCACATTCTTTCACTTATAATGCCCTCAAGATTCATCTGGGTGTGTGTGTGTGTGTGTGTGTGTGTGTGTGTGTGTGTGTGTGTTACTGGAGATTGAATCCAGGGGCATTCTATCTCTAGCTACATTCTCACTCTGAGCTACATTCCCACCCTTTCTTAAAATTTATTACTGAGACAAGGTCTCATTAAGTTGCTGAGGCTGGGCTCAAAGTCCCATCCTCTTGCCTCAGCCTCCTAAGTAGCTGGGATTACAGAAGTGCCGCCAGTGCACCTAGCTCCACATTATACCTTGTTATCAGTATTTTATTTTTTTATGACTGAATAGATACGTGACTTGTGCGGGTTATTAAACCCACACAAGTCAGGCGATCCAAATTTCCCGTGTAGAGACAGACCCTTCCATTACGCAGACACTGGCCAGCTGAAACACTGTACCATGCACAAGACTGAATGTGAGATGAGACAGAGAGAGAGAGAGTTTTTAACAGGAAGGTGGGTCTGTGTGTATTTTATTCTATGTCTATGTGTATTTTATTCTGTGTACCCTAGGACTAAACAAAGACATTGTTTACATTTTAAAGAAAGATAATACCAGCAGCAATGTGTCCCCTAACAAAAATCAGTTTTCCTTCTCAAGTTTTTATGTCTGCAAGTTTTTCAACCACACAAAGACTTGTACGCAGAAAACAATATCCATGGCCTTTGCCTGAGCTTTTGAAGACATTAGTATGTAAATCCAATGCAACTATATTGGTAGCTCCATTCAATGAAAGATGTATTGATTTTTATCAGTGAAAACTAGTCCCTGAAAATTCAAACTTAAAATCAGAAGCATTTCAACAGATCCTTCTGATTGACCATGTTTAGATATGCAAGACTATTTACTATAATGTAAATAAATGCTAAGAGATTTCTGTCAGATGTGCTCTTTGGAACATGGAACCATTCTATTAAATAGAGCTGTGGTGCGCATTGACTACTTCAGAATCCATTCTTGAAAGTAAAACACAGCACAAGGTTAACCTCTATTCTGCTGTAGTCTCCAGACACTGCCTCTGCTGCTCAGACTGGCTGAAAACCACAACTTCCAAGGACAGATTTGGGTCAGCTAAAGGCAGAGGCAGGTGTACCAAAATGTACAAAAATGTATACAGGTGGGCCAGGGATTTAGCTCAGTGGTTCCGTCACTTGCCTTGCAAGCGCAAGGACCCGAGTTCGATCCCTGGTAACAACAACAACAAAAAAATGTATACAGGGTTCATATTCCAAGTTCAAACCAAAAAGAAAAGGCAGGATTAAAGAACTGGCTCAAAGGGAATTGTGCCCAGGCACATGCTTAAAGTGGGGTTTTTATCTGAAGGTCACAATATTTGAGGGCTATTCAATGTGGACTTGCACATGCATACTAGTTTAGTAACTACAGAATGATGTATTGTACAACCATTCTTGTACTGGCCTAGTATGTGTCCTTTGCTGTATTAGGAAAAAATCACACACACACACACAGTGCTGTGGAGTTTTTGTTTTATTTTGTTTTGGGGGGGGGGTTTCTTTCTGGTGCCAGGGATCAAACTCAGATCCTTCTGCTTGCGCAGCAGGCAGCGAAACCACTGAGCCAAATCCCCAGCCCCCTATTTTGTTTTTTTGAGACAGGGTCTCACTATGTAGTCCAGGCTGGCCTCAGCAATTTTCCTGCCTCAGTCTCTAGCATGCTGGGATTACAGGTGTGCGTGACCATGCCTGTCAAAATGTTTTGACAGAAAGGAAATTGCATAAAGGATGCCATTAGACGTCTATTTTTCATAGCAAGATAATAAGCAAAATCGTTTGCAGGATTTGCCATTTTGCACATGGAAAGACCAAAGTCTTTCCAAAGCAGAAGTGTGAAATAAGCCCCAACTACAAAAATCTAAGATGCCCTTGGACTCAAAACTATCTCATATGCACGTGCCAGCATCTCACTGCTCTGTGCTAGTTATGAGCCAGTAACAAATATTTTTTTTAAAAAATAATAAATAAAATACTCTCGGAGCCTCACTCTTAAGTCTAGTGAGGCAGTGGACCAGACATTTGCATGGGCTAATGGATCACGGATCATCCAGTCAGTTCAATTCTTGGTCCTCAGGCCAGGGCTAAACATAATTCCTGCCATCATTTCCACATTTATTGAGCCTGGGAGTTGGAGCCGGGGATTTAGCTCAGTGGTTCCGGCGCCTGCTGCGCAAGGACAAGGTCCTGAGTTCGATCCCCGGTACCAAAAAAAAAAAAATCCTGGGAGTAATAAAGCAGTTGGAGTGAAGAGGGGCTGGAAATTCACAAGTAAATCCAAGCAAGGTACTAACTAGTTAGGTTACCAGAAAATATCTTTCTGAGTCAGCGTAACACGGGTTAAGACACCAGCCGGGACTGGTGGTAAACCCTATTCCTCCTGAGGCGGAGGCAGGACTACAAAACAAGACTCTTTTAAACAAACCAAAAAAGCCGGCTGTGGTGCCACACGCCTGTTAGCCTGTAGTTCCAGCATTCTAGGAGGCTGAGGCAGGAGGATCACAACTTAGCAACTCAGGGGGCCCACCTCAAAATTTAAAAATAGAAAAAGAGCAGAGGATGTAGCTCAGTGCAAATGTCCTCGGTTCAATCCCCAGCACTGCCACCAAAAAAAGAAAAAAAGTGAGACCACTTGTACCCAAAGCAGTAGGCTGTATAATTTGTCTCTTACCATCGGTATAACCTTGGGCAGGTTACTGGATTCTTTATGCAAATGAGGGGTTTACTGAACGAACACTTAAACACTGCGTGCAAAAGACCAGCCACTGTTCTCCCTGGCTCCTTACAGCAGCAGCCCAGTCAGGAGGACACCAGCACTATTACAGCCATTTGTCCAGGCGAGAAATCTGAGGCACAAAGAGGCTAAACAACTTCCAGAAGACGCGGCGAGTAAGTAGCCGACCTGCAACCCCCTTGCAGGCTGCGCGCGAACGGTACCGACAGTAGTCCGCGCCCGCCGCCAGGCCCACGACCTGAGAAACGGCACCAAACGGTAGCCCGCCCACACACCGATACTGAGGGGCCCCATTGAGGCGACCGAGGCTGCCCGAGTGCGCTCCGATTACGCCCACCCCACATCCCAGGTAGTCCCCGCGAACCCTCCCCAGAGTTTAAGGGAGACCCCATGAAGTTCCGGCCTCACCTCTTCCTCCCTCCATCGCGAGATTTCCCGGAGAGCGAAACACGGAAGTGGGTTCTACCATCTTCTCAGAGCCAGGGTGGGAGAAAGAAAAAGTTTTGAAGTGAAGGAACTCTTAGTTGGGACTCGCTACTCAGAAACCCTAAGTAATTAAGCCTTAATAAGTGACTAAATTCTAGCTGATCTTGGGTACTCATGGTACTCAAGATTCCCACCCTGTCTTCAAATCCCCCCTACAGAATGATGGAAGTTTCCGAAGGCCGCTAATTCCAGAAGGTACTGTCGGGCGTGAAACTAGTCTCGGTTGAAAAATAAGTCTCACGAGACCTGTACTGCGCGTGCGCAAACTGTCATTTCCTCCGGGAGGAAGGTGCGTTTTCAGTTCAGGAGTGGCTACTGCCGGCGTGCGGGAAACTAAGTCTTGCTGCTACACCATGACGTCTGTGGGGACCCTTGCCTTCGACGAATATGGGCGCCCTTTCCTCATTATCAAGGATCAGGAACGCAAGACTCGCCTTATGGGACTTGAGGCCCTCAAGGTAGGCCCAGAGTGCGTTTGCGGTGAGATAATGGGGAGGCTACTGAAGTGGTGGCTCTGCGCCTGCGCGAGTTTAGGAGCGGGTCCTCCTGCCATGTGCCGCGGGGAAGGAAAGGTCGGGAATCGTCTCCTAGGCAACCCTCTCGGTTCCAGTCGCGCACCCCGCTGCCGGAGCTCGGGACAGACAGGCAGGTAAGCCATGAGTGCGAATATGGGGCTCGGATGGGCCGCAAGCGCCCTTCGGAGCGGGTAGGGCAGCTTCGTTCCGCCCGCGAGCAGGACTCATTCCCGCGGCCCTGCAGCCCGGCTGACCCACCGTGCCGGGTTTGCATCGGACGACGCCGGGAAGCAGGGCTCGGTCACCTGTCCCGCCGCAGCTGCACGTCCTGGAGAAATGGAGGCTGACTTGCTTTCTCACTCAGGGTTTTAGACGTTTGCAAAGTAGTTTTTGAGTGCTTTTGAGCATGGCACATTCCTGAATGTGATGTCGTAAAAGTAAGTAGAATCCTTAGGGAAGAAAGTAATTTTCAAGAGTGGAAAGTGGATACAAGTAACTGTAATCCAAGGCGGGGTGTGATCAGAGGACCAGTGTAGGAAGGGATGCAGATAGGAGTGGAGGGAACTCTTCAGCATTGGATAGGGGATAGGGTGGTAGAGAGGCTCCATTAGGAAAAGGAGACAGTAGCTAATTCAGTGCTGGGGCAGGAAAACGCGCCGCGATTTATCGAACCGAAGGAAAATCTAGTTTTAATGGAACACACTCCATTCACCAAGTGGCGCTGTAGGAATCAACGTTTGAGCTAGATTGAGAGAGATGGGAAGACCAGAGAATGATGTGTGAGGGTCCAGGTAAGAAAGGGTCGTCTGAAAACAGATGTTGACAGAGATGCAGAGCAAGGGGGACTGTGAGGGGACCTCTCAGGTTTGTGACCACGCCACGTTTGTGTAGACCACGCCACCGGTTTTGGGGTGTCTGTGTTCACTTAGTGCCATGTGGTTTTACAGTTCGCTCCAACTGTTTGACTTAACCGTGGCAGGTGACATAACCGAACCTGATTTCCCAGTGGGAATAATTCCTCTGTAGCACTGGGGACTTAACAGTATTAATTGGGGTGACCGAAGGGCTGCTCACACACTGTTTACTCCATGCTAGGTATTCAGAATTTCGCTCCTTTCTGGGAGAAAGTTTAAAGCTGCTGGTAGTACATATTCAATTCTATTCTTCATCTAAAAGCACTTGCAGATTAACATAAAATACATACTGCAAACTTAACAATATAATGAAAGCTACAAGTTATTTTGAATTAGCCATTTTGTGCTAATCTCGGATTATTGCATGTAGTCCTCGCACTCAGAGATATTGGTAGTGTTACACAAGAGCAGGAAACTAGGGACCAGAGTAGGTGCAAAATTAACCAAGATCACCTAGCTTCTAAATAACAGGTGATCCAAGCTCTGCCTGGGTCAAAGCCGGCGGTCTAGAGTAGAATTATCAGCGTTGAAAGACTGCCATTGTGGCTAGGACATTCGTGGTTGTGGAGGCCTCTCCTCTGTAGGATGTTTAGCAGGCTTTCCTTGAGCTCTACCCACTATGTGCTGGCAGCATCCATCCCCCTCTCAGTTTTGACAACCAAAAATGTTTCCAGGTGTTGTCAGGTCTTCTTGGGACAGAATTGCCCCTCCCCAGTTAACCACTTTCCTTTGATTATTATCCTTTAAAAATTCCACCATAAAGACATAACTTTCCAAAGTATATTTTAAGGATTAACGTACCAATATTTTCACAGACCAAGTGAACCTTGTGTCTTTGTAATGTGCTAAATGGAATGGCCACAAAAGACTACTGGACGTGTACATTTGAACTGCTTTAAAAAGCTTGTCAAGATTTTGATGAGTAGAGACTTTCTGTGCCTCAGTACCTCGGGGACCAGGGGACATATTCGGTGTCCAGCATAGACCATCTTCACCAGAAAGGAGGTGGGACTCAGTGTGGAGGCCGGGAGTCATGTGTGCATTGGGAATTGATTCCAAGAATTTTTCTGTCCAGATGTGTCAGTAAGACTTTATTTTTTGTCTTCCTAGAACAGTGATGGCAAACCCTTTAGAGACCGGTTGCCCTAACTGCAACCCAAGACCCACTTGTTTATCGCAGAGTGCCAACACTGCAAATAAACCCAAGTGCTCAGCTGCTGGGGCAGTGCTAGACAACTTGGCTCACTGCTGACAGAGGCCTATGCGTGCCCACGGCGGCACACGTGCCTTAAGTTTGCCACCACTGTCCTAAAATGTGGAAATGAAGATCTAGGGCTTATTCGGATGGTGACGTGAGCACTCAAGTCCTAAGAATTAGGTGCTCATTGGTTCAGGGATGTGTACTTGGCCCCTAGTCTCGGAGAACTTAAAGCTGACTTAAAAAATGGACCCAAACATGTCACTCTGAAGCTCAAAAACTTCAGCTTTTTGTTTTGTTTCAAGAAACACTAGTTTTTCCTTTGGCATTTAGAGTCTTAAAGGTAGTAAGAATGTGTTGAGATTCTTCAGTTGTAAGACACTTCACAGAGTAATTTGCTTTTAAATTCAGGCAGGAGTTGTCTTAGGAAGAAGCTGCGTTCTAAAAGTATGTACCACTAGGCCAGGGATTTAGCTCAGGGGCTCTGTGCTTGCCTTGAAAGCACAAGGTCCTGAGTTCGATCCCCAGTACTGGAGAAAAAAAGAAAAGAAAAGTATATAACCTGAAACAGAGCAAGCTAAGTACCTGATAAGCAAACTGTTTAGTGAGCAGGGCCAGCGAACTCTGATGCTTGGTGTTGCGATTCTTCTCTGGAAACAGAACTGGAATGTATCCCTACCACTGAGTTTAGTAGCTAGACATAGTGAGAGGAAATACCAGATAACTTCATTGTTGTAATATTTCTAACAGCACCTCTTGGTCTGTAACTGTATGTAATTGGAATCTCAGGCAGGTTGAAGCTTTTTAGGGTGAGAGAACAAACGGTGAAAAGCGCAGTCATCTGTCTACTCGCTCGCGTGCCCTCACTGACTCACCATTACTGAACTCCCAGCCACCGCATAGAACTTTCCATCTTTGAAAACTGATCTTTCTAAAAACTTTGATAGGTGCAAGCGACTTTCTGTGCCTGAGTTCGGTATGGGCGCAGGAATGTCTCTCCACCGTAGACCGTGGTAGGAAAGCTCAAGGCGTCGGATGTTTACCCGACCTCGGGTCAGGGTGTCTGTGTTTGTAGCTCGAGAGAGAATGTGCCTGGCTGCTGTGTTGAGGATTAAAGGAGAACACAAACAAAACACTTGGTTCTGTTTCTTTCCCATAAGAATTGCCTGCTACAGGGCTGGGGATTTAGCTCAGTGGCTCCGCTGCCTGCCTCGCAAGCACAAGGACCCGAGTTCGATCCCTGGTACCAAAAAAAAAAAAAAAAAAATTGCCTGCTGCAGCCAGTACAAACCGAACTGGGTGAGAACCGAATCACATTCCCCAAAGGCCAACACTGAACCTATTCCCTGAATTTGATCTAGTTCTCGTCTGGTTCGGTTTGTTACCAGAATGGAGAAGGGAATTAAGTTCGTCAACCAAGGTACCACTATAGTTTTAAATCTTACCACACTTAGATCTAGACCTGTCTGTAGCCTTGAATTGTAGAAGGTTCTAGAGGATAGAAACGCTGTCATAAGTGATACTTGTAATCATCTGTTATATGCCTTTAACTATTTGACATTATTTGTAACTGAATATTTGCCTTTTTTCTTTGTTTCCTTTAGTCTCATATAATGGCTGCAAAGGCTGTAGCAAATACAATGAGAACATCACTTGGACCAAATGGTGAGAGCCTAACAATCTTGTTTATTGACAGAAGTTTCAAATCAGTAGTCAGTATAATCTCTTCAGAAGGGAGAGAGGGACGATGGTACCCTGTACCCTAAAACAGCCAAAATATTAACGTGTGTACATTTTTAGATCAGATTTTTTCCACAGTTAGCATTTCATTAGCATTTTCCAAATCACCTATGTTATTGTCTTTAGAGATTAACACTAAATTTAGTGGAGTTCTGTCCCCCGCCCGCCCGCCATTTCTCTGGCTCCATTTAGCTGCCTTACAGTGCGTTGCTTTGGGTTGGCCAGCCTAAACCGTCTTTACGCGGGTGTTTGTGTGTGGGGTAAGTTGCACGGTTGAGTGTGGATCGAGAGACCTTGTTAATGCTCTGACACTGCGCGCCCCCCCCCCCCCCAGGGCTGGATAAGATGATGGTGGACAAGGATGGTGACGTGACCGTGACTAACGACGGGGCCACCATTTTGAGCATGATGGACGTTGAACACCAGATTGCCAAGTTGATGGTGGAGCTGTCCAAATCCCAGGACGATGAGATTGGAGACGGGACCACAGGCGTGGTTGGTAAGAAAAGACACGTGGCCTCGCGTTCAAACCAGCCACGGGGCCAGAGCGCCCGCTGAGAGTTTCTCTGAACAAGTCGAGAGGAAACGGTCCGACAAATCCAAGGTGAAGAAAGTGCCCCAGGTCGGGCAGCTCAGATTTTTTCGAAACGAAGCAGAAAGGGAAGGGGGGTGTTGGCAGTGAGAAGGACAGCCCGCCGTAATGTGCAGTTCTTGGACCAGGTGCTCAGGTGGGTTTTTCAAGCCATA